TGAGTAGTAATATCCATTTTAAAGTGGTTTATTGAAAGCTAGAATTCTGCTCCAGTGTAATGAGTTAATTTACATGTTATTTAATGAGCCATAAGACATCAGATTCCATAGTAAATATGAAATCAACCTTATGGTTCTGTGGGTACTGTTTAACCAGAAGATTGGAACTTTTTATTGCAGGGATTATGTAACAACTTTGCATTAATTCAGAGACAACAGAAGAGAGAGTCATATTTTAAAAGTTTAAAGATTTATTACTAAACAAATTAAACTAGACTAACTTAAACACTAAATGTATGGTGTGACTAAGGTGAATTGAGACAGAGAATGGTGTAGTGTGGAATGTTGCTCAGAACCAGCAAATCCGAAGAAACAATTAGTTCTGGTGGGAAGTGAAGGTGATGTCTTCGCGCTAAGCTTTGGTTAGGAGATTCATAAACACATTCGACGCCATTCCGTTGGCCTGCATACCCTTTTGGAAGTCCTCGTTAGATCAGGAATGTCGAGGTCCAGCTTGACCTTTATGGAGCCGAAGCCGGTAGAAACAGCCGCGGCAGCCAACCACCAGTCTTGAGATACTTCTGGGTCACGACAGTTTTGTTGGCATCTAGCTAGACCCAAAACTGGGTCATGATGGTTCAGCTTTTATTCTGAAAGGATTAACTGAAAAATATTAAATAATTACTTGTCTTCACGATCACATTTTCTTTATTATTGGTCTCTCCATTTGTGCTTCCATTTCTGATGCACGTTCGTGTTGATACAGCAACCAGCAACGTATTGTACAAAAAATCCCAAATTAAACTAATAATGTAAAAAGTTTATAACCTATTTCAAACTGTGGGGAATATTTTTAAAACGTAGAATCAAACAAACTGAAATAAACCCGTCTGCAGCTCGTCCTCCTGCTCACAATCAACAAGCTGCACACAATTAGCTCATTAAAGGTTATCTAGCTGAAACTGGCAACATAAAATATCATCGTTGGCTTATTTTGGTACGAAGCGGTTAGCTAACGCTTCACAATGCAACAAAATGATGACATTTCATCAACTTACCGGAGAAAATCATTCCAAAACACCGAAAATGAACTGCGGTCAATGCACCAGCGGGGCTGTTTGGAACTAATCGAAGCTACATGAACCACGTGACTTCCGCATTCCATTCTTTCCATAGAAGTCTATTGGAGTGTCGCAACTCTCTCTTTCTACAGCTCTGATCTGTATGACCTGCTGACTCCCTGTGTACCTACTCGTATGTTGAGGTCAGCTGACCGTCTACTGCTTTGCACTCCCCGGATGTCCTACAAATCATGAGGTGAACGTGCGTTTGTCCATGCTGCCCCCATGCTCTGGAACTCATTGCCCATTACAGTTGGGCTGGCATCCTCTCTGCCTGCTTTTTAAATCTCGTTTAAAAAACGACTTTTATGACTTGGCTTTTAGACAGTGATTCATGTCGTATTGTATCGTGTTTTATAGTTTTTATTGTTGTGTTTTATCTTCTTATTGTTTTTTTTTCTTTTTTGTTTTAATTGATCTTGCCTGTTCAGCTCTTTGGTCAGCTCGCACGCCGTGTCTTAAATTGTGCTATAGAAACTAAGTTGGTGTGGTATGGTATCTGTTTCCTCTACAATACTACATACATATGTTATTAAAGGGGAGCTAGAGTTGTGGCCGTGACCTAGCTGCGCTGACAGAATTAGTTGCTTAGATCTCTGTGATATAGATCAGCACAAAGAACAATAGCTGGAAACTACGATAAAAAACCTTTGGTTAGATTAGATGATAAATTAGGGATTTTATGACTGCTTCATGTGATTTATTCTGTCATTGTTCTAACTCGGTTTAGTTTTCATTGGCCTGTTTATTGAATTTATTCAGTTAACTCAGGTTGGGAGCAGGGTCATGCCTTAACCTCAGCTATTTATAACCAGCTCACCCTCTTTTGACCCCACCCTTCCGTCCATGGACGTAATTTTCACTTTAGAAGTGGAGGGGATGGGGGGGGGGGGGGGGGGGGAGATCTTTACAGTATGCTCTAATGGGAAACGGGCTTCAACACAAATGGTTGTTTTCTGCTTGGTCCTAGAGCTCAACCAGTGTCAATTTAATATAGTGTAATATTGTTTTTGGATGGTAAAAAGTGCAGGGGTTAAAACTTGACTTCGGAAAAAGTGGGGGGGACATGTCCCCCCTGTCCCCCCCCAAAATTACGTCCATGCTTCCGTCGCCTTTATCCTTTCCCTACCTCTTCATCCCATCCATCCCTCCTTACTACCTTCCTCTACAGTCCTTTTTGTGTTCATTCGACTTTTAGCCAGTACTAGGTGGTGGGATTGACTTGGAAAGTTGCTGCTTGGGGATAGATTACAGTGAGGCTGCAGAGGATGTGGAAAATAGCTGGAAAATGTATCTGGCAAGCTCGAAGAGCGTAGTAGTGATTTACTTTATGTTGAAGGGGATTTTTAAAAAGTTGCAGCAATCCAGAACATTTCTTACAGGTCAAATGAAAGCAAAGCAGTGTTTTCACCAATGTGAAGAGGCCTAGGAGAAGAAATCTGACTGGATTGAAATACATGATTAACTCATTCGCTGCCAGCGTTTCTCACCGTTTTTACTGTTTTTTTAAGAGTCACAGAATGTTGTGTGCTAGGATGATGTTGACGCCAAAACAACCAAAACAAAGCGGAGACTCACCTCTTACATCAGGAAGAATCAGCGCATTTCGAGCGTTATCCGTTCTTTCATAATTCGTTGTTGAATCGTGATCGGCAGAAGCTTTTCCGGTTCGCGCCTCACTTTTTTTTTACAGCAGCGGCCCAAAACGATCTCCTAACACGTGGATGTGTTGCTTCCCGACCACGTGATGTGTGACGTATGCAGATGAATATCGACTTTAGAGCTGAGATGTTTGTTCTCTCAGCGCGGGGGCTCATCCCGACGCCCAAACAGTAAAAAAATGCAAATGACGACTTTAGTCATCATTGGCAGTGAATGAGTTAAAATACAGAGAAGGTACTAAACAGTCTTGTCAAAGGTAAGGTACTTAGTTTGAACGCAGCCTCCCTGCTTGACACTCAGCATTAAGGGGTTGGATTGGGGGGGGGGTTAAACCACCAAATAGTTCCCGAGCGCGGCTGTGTCTGCAGCTCACCGCTCCCCCAGGGGATGGGTCAAATGCGGAGAACAAATTTTGCACACACACCTGTGTGTGTGACAACTGATGGGACTTTAACTTTGCACCTATGTACAACCCACATTTTATTGATAATGTTCATTTAAAACACGAGTTTGGACAGTCACAAATATGCTATCCTCAAATTGAAAAATAAAGTGAATCTAGTGTTGGACAATGAAATTCACAGTTCTATCTCTGCAAATGGAGCCATTACGAAGACATTTAATATGGTAGCAGAGGAGAGCCTACCTGGGAGCCAGAGTAAATTTATTTGCTTTGATATGCCTTGAAATGAAGTCTGCCTCGCTTGCAGTCCCACTTAACTTTTGTTCTTTTTCCAAGCAGATGTAATACACACAGATCGACACCATGAAAGTGGTTGACACTATTAGACTGGTACATAATACAAAACAAACCGCCAGGATGGAGTTTAATGAGCCTTTTTTAAAAGTGTTTTAACTTTTATCTGACATTACACAGCAAGAGGTTTTCTGTGAGTCCTTCAGGTAGAATTTGAACAATACAAAGTAAATTGTCACACCCCGCAGTGAAAAGTTAATTTTTTAAACCGTTAAGCATACTTGTCCTTTTTATTGGAAAAACTCCAGGAACATTAGCGTCGACAAAGATAAAAGAGGATGAATCAATGAGCTGACTCGTTCACCCTGCTGTAGATGTCTATGTGAGGTCCATTCATAGGAACAGCCTCACGTTGGCATGTTTACATTTTTAAAAGCTTACACTAAGATTGCTAAATAATCTGATGCTGAGGGAAATGCTTTATTCAATTTTCGTTAACGATATTCCATCTGTGCCGTTTTTGTAGATTCCTTCCTGTTAAATCCAAGTTTACCCCCACTCTCTTGGTTCTCCGCCAATGTTCTATGTGACAGATGATGTCTAACCTTCGATCCCCTGGATCTTAATACCACTGGCTGCCTGGCTCCTTGACCCACTTTTGATGATTATTCAGCCTGCGGCAAAAGGATTACTTTCTGTCTGTATGGAGTCCTGACAACCAGAGAGGAAAATGACCTATTGTATAGCACATGGCTGCCTCTTATTTGAACCCGAGGAAATAAAAAGCTGCATCCATTACACTCTAAATGGGGTTTGGTGAAATTCAAGCTGCTTGGACTGGAAACCGACTTGGTATAAATAATTTGCTCGGTCACTTTCAATTTATGCTTTACAAACGTAAAGACGCTTCAGTAAAACTTGATAAGCCTTTACCTAAAATTAACCTCTAAACACCACGGACCACAAAACACACAACATCGAGTCAAATACTAGAGCTAAGCCTAATCCCATTGCAATATGTGCAGCATCTATTTACATGCTGCTGGTATATATGTTTTTTTTTTCCTGAGCAGAGATGCAGTCATATGTCACATTGTTGAGTTCATGGCTGCGTTTGCTGTGTTTCTGTAGAAATAAGGGTGACAGAGTGAGTGTCTTAGATTGCTGCATTCTGCTGTGATCCAAGGTTGCATAGTCATTTTATACATAATAGAAAGAGCAGAAGGCTTGGCCTTGACAAGGAAAAACCAGGAGCATGAAAGATAAAGAAGAGGACATACTTAGCCCTGAAAATGTGATGTAGCATAGTGTAAGTAGTTTAGAAGTGAAAGGGTTTTGAATAGAGAGGAGAAAAGGGGCAGAACCGCTTCTCTTCCAGAAACTAAAAGCTTTCAATTCACAACCACCTTCCTCAACAAAATGATTTCCCTTTAACCAATAACTAGGATAAATGCACATATTCATGAAATAATGCCAGTAATAGTTTGTTGTAAATTGTTTTGTTTCTTTTCATTTGGCAGGAATCATCAGGACTGCCTTAGCAGACATGGACCGGGAAGCCAGAGAACACTACACAGTCGTTATCCAAGCCAAAGACATGGCAGGCCAGGTCGGAGGCCTCTCTGGCTCCACCACCATCAACATCACTCTGACAGATGTCAACGACAACCCGCCCAAGTTCCCACAAAGTATGTACCTACAAAAATCCATTCCAATGGTTCATGAAGACAGAAAAACACCCCATAAGTTTATGGCGTTGTTTTAATCAGAGTTTTGTACTTGAGCTATGTCGTCAGGGTGACTTTTATTCACCATCACACCTAAACCATGCTTAAAGTCTGTAAATACTAGACTTTGTGCTTTCCAAGTGTAGTTGGAACTAACTCCAAAAGAAGTTACTGCCTCTGGTTACTTTCTGAACCAGACATGTGGCACGGCTGCTACTAAACCAGATTTTAGCTCAATATCTGTAAACCCCAGGGGCATGTCCAGGGAGTGGCCTTGGGGAGCACATGCCACCCTTGGAATCTGATTGGCCACCCCACAGAGTTCCTTTTAAGTTGACTTTACATTGTCCACAACAGGTTTGGGGTCATAAACCCCAAAACAGTAGATGGCAGCATGTGCCTGTAACACTGTTTTCTAAGCTCGACTAACAGAACATTTCTGTATTTAGCATCTGGATCCCAGTCTCACTCCACCCTAACTGGTGGCAGTATTGCACCAAGAAGTGGCTTGCTAACCACCTCTACAAAAACAGCTCAAAGAAAAAGAATATAGAGAAATTGGCCATGGCACGATGTGGACCTCACAAATTCACTTGAATGCAAAAAATTTAGAAAAAGAAAAATAAACAAGACAAGAAATAGTGTGACACTCATGCATAAACAATTGGCCCACCTGGGCAACCTCATTTTTGAAGGTCTGGACACGCCACTGGTAAACTCGACTCAATCGTTGGCGTTTTTGGGTTTGCTAATGTTGATTAGCAATAGTGGCCATCTTGAATCGGACTGCCTCCAGATTTTAACCATATATAGATCCAGTAATTACAATGTTTAACTTAAATCCATCCCATAATTCTTGAGCTATTATGTCAACACTAAAGACAAATAAACACCAATCACTGACAGAGTTTTACATTGAGAAAATGGCCTTTTTCCCTGTTAACTTGTCTGTAGGCTGGTTTGGTTAAACTCTTACCTCAGCTGTTTGTCAAACCAATAATAATAATGATAATAATAATAATAACCATCAAACTTATATAGCGCTTTTTAGGACACCCAAAGACGCTTTCACACACTCTCACATTCACGCACTGCTAGTGATGGTAAGCTACCTTGTAGTCACAGCCGAGGCGAGGCTGCCATTTGGCGCCGTCGGCCCCTCTGACCACCACCAACACAGGCAAGTTGGGTGAAGTGTCTTGCCCAAGGACACAACAGCAGAATACCCCTGGTAGGAGCTGGAATCGGGCCCACGACCCTCCGATCATGAGGCAACCCGCTCTACCACCTGAGCTACTGCTGCCCCAACCACATCCTCTGAGGCATTGTTGGCCTTGAGCTGTAAGAAGCCGTCCTTGCTCCTTGTCTGACGCTGTTATGAAACCTTAAAAGCATTTATGAGAGTTCTGAAATGTGTTTTCATCAAGGCAAAGCGGCAGATTTACAATAAAAACAGGTACATTATCACTCAATGTGTTTCAGTGTTTTAATTATTAAAAAGCATTTCAGCATTTGCCATATTTCTTTACATAAACATTGATTTATGATACGACCGTCTATCAGTGTCAGAATGTCAGCTCTCCTCATTAAGATTCATAATTCTTATTGTTTGACTCAGTAGTCTAATATCATGGTCAATTCTTCCCTAATTAGCTAAATTATATGTATATTCATCAAAACCCTGTTTTTCACTCTGAATATTCTCCATTATAATGATAAATTTAAGTATGGATAAAGCCTCATCAAGTTTAATCCCCGTCAGCTCACAGTTTTTCATTTGTGCTGCAGTTTTTACAAAAAAGAAAATCAACATTTTCCAAATAGATGTCTGCCTCAGAGTTGGATAAGCTTCACTGCAGTGCAATCAACCCAAGTTTAGCATTTAATGTCAATTGAAGCACCGCAGAGCGTTTTTAATGACATTCCCTCAGGAACAAATGGTGACAGAGTCAAACTGCTTAGCGAAGCCCTTTTAGAGAAACATTCAAAAACTATCTGCTGCTGAGGAAGTTGTGTTGAAATCTATTTCATGCTGCCTATTGAATTTCCCTCTGGGATTAATAAAGTATTTTTGAATTCGAATTGAATTCTAAATGGTCCCACGTCAATGTTCATCCACAGAAAATTACCAGCTGTACGTCCCAGAATCAGCCGAAGTCGGGAAGCCGGTGGGGAAGATCAAAGCCAACGACGATGACCTTGGAGTCAACGCAGACATCAAGTATAGCATCATTAACTCAGAGGGCGCCAACATGTTCTCCATATCCACAGACAGAGAAACAAGAGAGGGAATCATCAGTCTGAAAAAGGTATGAAGCAGCTGAAAGCAGCACAGTACCATGATCTGTCCTTGGAGGATGTCCATTTAATATCTGGATGAGTTGGAAAACAAGACTTTTAAACTAAATCCACTGGCAGATTATTTTAAGGGTTTATGTTTCTCTAAGATCAGTCAACTTTTGAAGATCTGGATTAGAGCTTCAAGCGAAACCTTTCTTTTAATCCTTCTTGTGCTATTTATCTTTTGCTCTACCTTTTATATTAGTGGAAACTCATAAAATCATGTTGTTTTAGACGTTTTAATAGATCAAAATTTAAAGTTCATTTTTCTTATTAAAAAATAAACAAATCAATTAAATTAATTCTCATTTCCCAAAATAACAAAAGAAGATTTCGTTCAAACAGAAAAAAAAACATTATAATTGAAGAATCTAATGACCTTTCTAGGGGTTAGAGTTAAGCACATTTTATTAGGAGGAAATATATTGAGCTGGGAATTTGATCAAATTTATATTTTCAATTAGTCTTTTAGGATTAAAATCTTTTTCTCCCCTTTTTGGTCCTATATGAAGATTTCACTTAATTTTCGCCACTCTTTTATGTTTTTATTGTTGACTCAAACAAACAAACAAACAAAAAAATAAAATAATAATAATAATAATAATAATAATAATAATAATAATAATAATTGGATTTCCAGACATCTGTTGCAAATTTTCAACAAGGAATTGCCATTTGTGTTTATTCTTATTTAGTTTTGAACATTAGCAGCGCTAATAAAGTCATTTTCTGTCTAAACCACTGAAATCCAGATGTTCCAGATGTAGAAGCGTAACAAAGAACTTGAAGTCTAATTAAACTTAAACTGTTGAGTTAATTTGCCATATCCTTCATATTACAAATGTTGTCCTTTTTCACTTATTTAGTCTCGTATCTTTTCAACAACAGCTTCTGAACTACGAGCGAAAGAAGACCTACACGCTGCACATCGAAGGAACGAATACTCACGTGGATCCTCGTTTTTCCTACCTTGGTTCTTTCAAAGACACCGCCACCCTGAAAATCACAGTGGGGGATGTGGACGAAGCCCCCATCTTTTCTATGGATTACTACATTTTGGACGTTTACGAAAACTCGCCAAGTGGAACAGAAGTGGGTGCGGTTACTGCTCGAGATCCAGACAGCAGGAACAGTCCTGTCAGGTGAGAAATTCGAACTACATGCAAAAACAATCAACCTAAACCAACTGCTAGTCTTGTGCTTGTTTTCACCCTCTAATCCAAGCCCTTTCATAACACAGATGTTATGGAAGAGATGCAGATTTGACTTCCTTCTCTTCTGCATGGTACAGTTTCCATGCCACACAGTGGCAGAGCTGTAGATGGTGATCTGCAAAAAATGTCAGATTTCTTAATTTTTCTCAGAACGTGCAATAGTTAAGACTGTTCTGAGACAAGATGAAAAGGGTGAATTTGAGACAAATTATTTCTAAACATATTCAAAATTCATAGCAGGCTTTTAAAATCCAATCCCAGTCTTCATCAGTTCACCTCACAAAGAATTTGAGAAAAACTTGGGGGAGTTGATGAAACTAAGCTGAGTGACAAAATCAAAAATAAACAAATCTGAAATTGAGATAAAACTGCAACTAAAATGAGAATGCATCGCACAACAAATAGAGATGTTTTGGAATTTCCATTGTGACCAGAATAGAAGCAAATTGTTGCAACTTTTTCCATTTCAGACATTCACGTGGTTTTACTTCTAAGAATGTGCCGAATAACTGAAATCCTGAATTTATGTTTTTCACACACAAATCTACTACTACTACTACCACTACTACTACTGATAATATTAATAACAACAACAATAATAAAAGTATTAACAACAACCTGCACTTTTTTGCTGCCTGAAAATCAGATTCTATATTTGAAGCTTAAAACTGCATGCTTTATCTTCTTGTGTAAATATAATTTTTTGGTGCTTTAAAGTTTTTGCATAACTGAGTTTATAAATCATTAATAACCTCAATCCAGCATTATATGGTCTTAGCATGCTGCCATTATTTCCATTACAAGATTTTTAGCTCTGTGGCATTTGGAGGGAGGTTTATGTAGCCTGAAATATCTGATCCTTTAGCATTCAGGTGTTCCCAGAGGTTTTATCCCACCCAACACACACACACACACACACACACACACACACACACACACAAACTTGATTCCGCAGCATTCAGACTGTATCTCTTAGTTTGGGTTTCCAGCAGATAGATGGTTATTCCTTCTGCAAGCTTGAGAAGTAACCTGAGGCGATACAATTACTTTGCACATCCGCATGCACTCTAAACAGACGTTTGTGTACTGTTGGGGAATGAAGCCAAAAAAAAAAATAAAGATTCATACCAGCCTTAGGCAGTATATTGTTTCATGGCATTACACTGCAGCAACCTGCACCTCATGTTAGAATTTGAATTCCATTTCTGTGTATTTTGACAAAAATGATGGAATAGTTGCAAACATGATACTCTTTAGGAGATTAACTATTGCTCTCATATCAATAAGAAGCAATCTCGTGTTGATGCTGCATGTAACAGGATCATATTTGGGAGCTTTGGCATGAGCTGCAGAGCCAAGAGCTTTTGGTAAGCTGCAGTAAGTCTCGTTAGCAAGAATGCAGAAAATATTTCTGGATGATTTCTGAGCAATATGGACGAAAAGTGTTCCACAATAACAATATAGTTTCATATTAAGTCAAGTTTCACAGCAAGGGTCTGTTTTAATACAAACTGACTGCTTTTTGATGATGATGGTGATGATGATGGTGATGGTGATGATGATGAAGGTGATGGTGATGGTGATGATGTGATGGTGATGGCGATGGTGATGATGATGATGGTGGTGATGATGATGGTGGTGACAATGATAATGGTGATGATGATGATGGTGATGGTGTTGGTGGTGATGGTGATGTTGATGATGTTTGTGATGGTGACAATGATGATGATGGTGATGATGGTGGTGATGATGATGATGATGATGATGGTGATGGTGATAATGATGGTGATGATGATAGTGGTGATGGTGATGATTATGACAATGTTTGTGATGGTGACGATGATGTTGATGATGATTGTGATGGTGGTGATGATGATGATGATGATGATGGTGATGGTGATAATGATGGTGATGATGATAATGGTGATGGTGATGATTATGACAATGTTTGTGATGGTGACGATGATGTTGATGATGATTGTGATGGTGGTGATGATGATAATGCCTGTGATTATGATGATTATGATGATGATGATGATGGTGATGGTGGTGATCATGATGTTTATTGTGATGTGATCATGATGGTCATGGTGGTGATGATGAAGACGATGATGATGATGATGATTGTGACGGTGGTAATGATGATAATGGTGGTGATGATGATGATGATGATGATGGTGATGGTGATAATGATGGTGATGATGATAATGGTGATGGTGATGATCATGACGATGTTTGTGATGGTGACGATGATGAGGATGATGATGGTGATGGTAATTGTGATGGTGGTAATGATGATAATGGTGATGATGATGATGATGATGATGATGATGATGGTGATCAATATTATGGTGATGATGATGGTGAGGATGATGATGATGATGATGATGATGATTATTGTGATGGTGGTAATGATGATAATGGTGGTGATGATGATGATGATGATGATGATGGTGATGATGATGGTGGTGACAATGATAATGGTGATGATGATGATGGTAATGGTGTTGGTGGTGATTGTGATGATGATGATGATGATGATGATGGTCATGGTGATGTTGATGATGTTTGTGATGGTGACGATGATGAGGATGATGAATTTGATGATGATTGTGATGGTGGTAATGATGATAATGATGGTGAGGATGATGACGATTATGATGATGATGATGATGATGATGATGATGGTGGTGATCATGATGGTCATTGTGATGTGATTATGATGGTGATGATGATGGTGGTGACAATGATAATGGTGATGATGATGATGGTAATGGTGTTGGTGGTGATTGTGATGATGATGATGATGATGATGATGGTCATGGTGATGTTGATGATGTTTGTGATGGTGACGATGATGAGGATGATGAATTTGATGATGATTGTGATGGTGGTAATGATGATAATGATGGTGAGGATGATGACGATTATGATGATGATGATGATGATGATGATGATGATGGTGGTGATCATGATGGTCATTGTGATGTGATTATGATGGTGATGATGATTATGATGATGATGGTGGTGATCATGATGGTGATTATGATGATGGTGATGATTATGATGGTGGTGATGTTTTTGATGGTGATGATGATGATGGTGATGATGTTGATGATGTTTGTGATGGTGACAATGATGATGATGATGATGATGGTGATGATGGTGATGATGATGTTGATGATGATGTTAATGATGATTGTGATGGTGGTAATGATGATAATGGTGGTGATGATGATGGTGACGATGATGATGTTGATGATGATGTTAATGATGATTGTGATGGTGGTAATGATGATAATGGTGGTGATGATGATGGTGATGGTGGTGATGGTGATCATCATGATGATGATGGTGATGATGATGATGATGTTAATGATGATTGTGATGGTGGTAATGATGATAATGGTGGTGATGATGATGATGATGATGATGATGGTGATGGTGGTGATGATGATGGTGATGGTGATCATCATGATGATAATGGTGGTGATGATGATGATGTTAATGATGATTGTGATGGTGGTAATGATGATGATGGTGGTGGTGATGATGATGATGATGATGATGATGATGATTATGATGATGATGATGGTGATGGTGATTGATGATAATGGTGATGGTGATGATCATGATGATGATGGTGATGGTTGTGATGGTGACGATGATGATGATGATGATGATGATGATGTTGACGATGTTTGTGATGGTGACAATGATGATGATGATGATGGACATG